GTTGCATAATGCAGTTCAGATGATTCTTTTCCCGATGGGCGACAGTGCGCAATATTTTCGTGACCCCCAGTTGACATTGCCAAAAGTTATGAATACAGGCGACGATAGAGGACGGTCTGAGTGGAGTGGAGGCCAAGGTTAAGGTCGGCCCCCACTTTGTTCACAATGCCAGCCATTCGTCCGACTCTCTTCCTCCTGCCTCTCCTGTCACTGCTGCCTTTCTGTCCGCCTGTTTCTCTCTCTCTCTCTCTGCTCGTCTTCCTGGTCAGATGACGTAACTTCCGACCTCCACCAGCATCACCGTACTATTTACTTACCTGAAAATCCTGAAAATGCAATTGTGTGCTTTTCCACCATGAAAATTTCAAATCTCACGTCATCGAGAGAACATATATTCGAGAATGTCGAACGAGATACAAGCAGAAGATGTATATAGCGAGGAAGAAGACAAATTTCGACGCATTAGATGGAAGATATGAAATGAAAAATGAAAAACTTTCATTTTTGTTTTCATCAAACTTTTATACCGCTACCATATTTTCCAGCGATATCGTGTCTACCGATAGTGACGTTTCACGTCTGGGAACTTTCCACAGAGTTTCCTTGCCACTGATTTCGTTCTGAAAGTAGCGAGCCCGTGGCTGCTCCTCTGGAATATCTAACAGACAGTAGCTATCTGTTATTGGGTTCGACGTCAGTCGCAGACTTGTGCAGTGGAATCAGACATTGGGGTCAGCCGAGTGTGAAACACGGGGATACTCGCCTCTGTGTGTGTTCGCGAATCCTTTGCGTTCTACACACACACAAGCACGCGAAAATCAGCGCACGAGTGCGATAGGGGGAGAAGGTTTGGAAATGGTTCGCGCAGACGTTACAGAAATTATCTGGCTGAGCAATTTCGAGCTCGCGAATTCCATTTCCCTCGATATACGCGACGCGCGTATCCTCCACACGACCACCCGCTCGCTCTCCTCCGACTCGTCTGCGTTTCCAAGTTCCGCGCGTCGATCGAGGGGTGAATTTTCCTTCCATTCCACTGACTTTATATCCCGCGACTCTCGTGGCCCCCTTTTTCTCTGACATGCCACGCAGATAGAGAGGAATGTAAACGTAGTCGAGTGGTGTAGCACCGGTGTGTGGTCCTTGGCGAGCTTTTCGCCAGGAGAAATGCGCGACGCCCGCTCAGGGAGGGTTTAGCGAAAGGGGGATGGAGTTATTATGTATCGCGAGATGTGTGCGGTGAAACTACGATTTTTTTCTCCTTTTTTCCTTCAGATTTTTGCGTGGGTTACGTTGCAATTGAGTATTGCGATTGTTGGTTTTTTTAAGGGGTAGAAGTAAATTTTCTCCGACTAGGTTCACTTAATTGATCGAAAGCCAGGGAGTTTCTATCAAAGGTATTCTATCAAAATTTTGATTGTATCCAAAAGTCGGAAAGAATTCATTTTTACGCCTAATATATACCAGTTGGACACTTACTGTAAAATTCTCTCTTAATCTGTATTTGTCAGTTGTATCTTCTGTTATAATACTTTGATTCCTTTCTCTGCTAGCTCCCTTTATGCACGAGGCTCGAACCAGTCTTACAAAACCGGTTCCTTGCGGAATAAATTGAACCGCGAAACGTGGTCCTTTTTTTAAAACGATCTTCAGGTACACCGCGTGTGTGCTTTAATGGCTTCTCCACCAATCCTCTATATATATATGCGGATATTTTTTTTTTGGTTAAAAATCTGCACGGTTCCTTTTACACGAATTATGCTTGACGAGCGGCGATTAAAAGAGAAAGTAACGGAGAGGAGTAGAGGTTGTCGACAGAGAGACGACATAGTTGCACTCGCGGTACGAAAATGTCTGCCTATGCAAATCGACTTCTCGCTCTTGTTCTATTCATCGACTGACTCGGTGTATTTGTGTCGCTGTGTGGTTGACGATTATTGCCCGAACAATCGAGCTAGTTTCTGCCTGGAAGCTAATTTTAGTAGGTGCAATTTCGTGGGAAACGGAGACAGTGACGCCGAATAATGACTCTATTGATTCGAGAGTTTCTCGTGAAGGAGGTTGTGCAACAACTATGGCGGACAAACACACGAGCGAGAGAAGGGCCGCGCGCGTTAGTCATCCAGAGTGGAGAACACACGATCGACGCGTAAGTGGCGGTGATTGAAAATAAGCGGCTTCGCTGCTCTCATCATGTAAATTAACGACGCCGTATTTGTACAATGCCGGCCGGTCAGCCTGCTTCTGCAATGGGACGCCGAGTGAGTATATTGGTTCGGTTGTTGTTTCTCTTTTTTTTTCTTCTCTTCTTCGCTTCGCCGTCTCTTCTCGACGAGAAATTATGCAGCTTCGTTACACACGATGGATGTTATTGGAAGCTTGTGAGTTCCTTTTTTGGAGCTGTTCGTTTGGGTCACCCCGTTCTCAGAGCTGTAATCGCGCCCGAATATACGCCTCGCTCGTGTGGCGCTTGTATGTGACTTTTGTGTCACGTTGGGTATAAATATGTAGGTAGGGTGTGTGTACAGGGCGATGCAAACGTGCGGGCT